CAGAGGGTCTGGCGATGGAAAAGCCGCGTTCCCGGAGGGAGAGGGGCCGGGTGCCAGATCCAGGCCTTGCTGTTCTCAGCCCGAAATCCCAATCGGGGCAATTCCTGTTGGAATCGGGGTGGCTGCTGGGAGTGGGATGCAAAGCTGGGCTGGTGAAACCCATCCCAGCCCCATCCCTGCACAGGGACTCAACCCCAGTGACAGGCACCCCATTCCCCCCAGCCCGGAGGATCTGGAGCCACTCGGTTCTCCCCCTCCCCAGCAACGCCGTGTGCTCCACGTGGTGTCAAAATACTTTTTACCTTCTCCCCACATACTCCTGTTTTGGGGAATTTTTTTTAGCGTTTCCCTTCCCCTCCCCAGCATCCTGATTTGTGCGGTTTGAAATGCCCCACACGGTTCAGGGCAGGCGTGAGGTGAGGAGTTTTGTGCTTGCAGTTTCTATTTCTTTTTCAAGCATGAGGGAACAAAGCTGCGAGTGCAGCCATGGTTCAGTGTGGGGGGCATCTTCTGACAGCTGAGAGCTCTCCTCAAGATGTGTTGGAGGAGGAAGGCAATAATTACATGGGAATTCTTATTTTTTAATTAATATTTCAAATTAATCTGGCAAACATCACCCCAGAAGCCCAGAGCTGTGTCCAGCATAATTCCGTGGCTGGCTGTGGTGGTGGTGGGTTCTTTTCAAATCAGAGCAAATTCAAGGTTTTTGGGGTTTGTTGGTTTGTTGTTTTGTTGGGTTTTTTTTCCAGCAAGTATCTTTTCAGAAATTACCAAATGTATAGGTTAATTTAAAAAGCAAAAGCTGGGTTAGCACCACTGCAAGCTGAGTTCTGAAATGAGTTCTGTGGAGGAATATCCCCGGTTAACTGTGAACCTGTTCAGTGCCAGCCAGGCCATGACTGCATTTTTGGGGTGCCCCAGCTCCACAGGCTGATGGGAGCCAGCTGCTGCTTTCCTCAGACTGGGGGAGCACCCCAACTTCAGGGGTCTGGGCCCCCCAGCAAGGGTTTGGCCACTGCTCCTTTGATCCCAGCATCACTGGGGGTGGCCAGGATGGGGATGAGGAGGGACCTCAGGGAGGGATTTAGGCGTTGTCCTGTCCTGGGAGCAGCAGGGGCTGCTCAGCACCAGCCAGGGGTGAATCCTGGGATAAGTCCCAGGAAGGGGGAGATCAAGAAGCTATTCCCCACCAGAAATATCTCAATCCCCCATTGCTAAAGGCAGCACACACTGTCCCAGCCCCATAGCTCTGCTCAAGTCCCCACAAGCATCTGTCAGGAGCTGTGGCTCTGGGAGGGCAAGAGGGATTTGGGATGGATTTTACCCAGAGGGGTGAAGTTTCGTTGTGTACAGATCACCCCCATGTCCAGGCATCCCCTGCCAGTGCATTCCCCTGCCCACAAGCTCTTCCTTGTGTGTGCAGCCTCATGGGAATTTGCATACATACCCCTGTCCCCCTTTTAACACCTCCCCAGTTCTCAGTTCAGCAAGTTCTGTGCTGATTTGGGGTCCCTGTGCCAGCCCCTGAGCCTCAGTGTGGGGCTGGGTTCTCCCCAATGATCCATCACTGTCCAGGTGCTAAATTTAGCTGGGTACTGAGAAGGCAGGGGCTGTACCAGGAACTGGGGGTACCCTGCTTGCCTTTTTGTCTCTCTGTCATAATGGGGTGTGAAGGGGAAGAGTGAAGGTGAAAGGGGGTCCTGTGGGACCCCAGCACCCTCCCTACCCACCATGACCCCTTTGTGTCAGCCCTGTGTGCGCTGCTCCCCAAACCCACCTCGTCCATGGGCTTTGTATGGTCCAAAATGTCCTTCCCAGATTCTCTGGGGCCTCTCCCCAGGGCCCCCACACCTTTTGGGGCAGCCACACAGAGCCTTGGGGGCCGCACCAGCCCTTGGATGTGGGGTGGTGCCAGGTGTGGGATACAGGCAGGACCCTCAGCCGTGGGTCTGGGCTGTTGTGGGCGGGTTGGGACCCCCAAAAGCCGCCGTGACCGAGCTGACACCCCCGTTCTCCTGTGCCCTGCAGATGTGCACCCCCAGCAACACGCCGGCCACGCCGCCCAACTTCCCGGACGCGCTGGCCATGTTCTCCAAGCTGCGCACCTCGGAGAGCCTGCAGAGCAGCAACAGCCCCATCACCTCCATGGCCTGCTCCCCCCCGGGCAGCTTCAGCCCCTTCTGGGCCTCCTCGCCCCCCAGCCACCAGCCTGCCTGGCTGCCCCCATCCTCACCCACCACCCACGGCCTCCACCACCACCTGCACCACCCGCAGCCCTCCTGGCCCCCCACCCCTCCGGCCCCTGCCCCCCCACAGAAAGCCGTGGCCACCATGGATGGTCAGAGATAAGGGTTGGGGGGGTCAGGGGGGCCGGGCCGGGGCGTTGGGAGCAGGGGCTCGCCAAGAAACGCACTGGAATAATTTTCTAGGTTTTATTATTATTTTTAGCGGGGGAGTACATGCTGCCAAGGGGGGCACTGACCCGTGAGAGCCTCTGGCTGCTCTCTACTCTCCTCCACTTTTTTTTAAAAAATATATAACTATAATATATAAATATATCTAATGTATATAAATCCAGAGAGAAGGAGCAGCAGCATGGAGGCAGCTGCTGGGTGTTTGGGGGGTTTTCTCTATGGCTCTATCCCCACCCAGCATCTCTACATCAGGGCAGGAGAGGGGAGGACAGGAATAACAAAAATAAATGGATGGAGGTGGCTGTTGGCACCCCAGATCATGGCCACATGGACGTGGAGCCACTGGACACCCTTCCCAGCTCTGGCTTCCCTGGGCACTTGTTGCAGTGCCCAGGACAAATGCAGCTCTCTGGCTCCCGAAATTCAGCCCAGCTTCTTGCACAGACCCTCCTGGACTTGCCCCCAACCCCATCCTCCCTCCCTCAGCACCCCCAGGGCCTGGGGGCTTATCAAAGTGATGTCCCCCTGTCCCTGTGACCGCCTTACGTGGCGCTTCCCCAGGCAGGGGGGAGCTGGGGGTTTTTTAGTTTTCAAATCAATGTTGCTTAAAAAAAACGAACAGAAAAACAAACCAAAAAAAAAAACAAAAAAAAAAAAAAA